GTGACCGAGTCTACTGTAAGGCAGAAGAGGGCCTACGGGCCTGCCGTTTTCCAAAGGAGCAGAAAAGGACAAAACAACAAGGCTGAAAGGCCTAAGACTACCAAATAGAGACTACTAGCGACAGATCCAAGGATCAAGCCCGGTAGAACTCAAAGCTAGCAAACCACACATACAAACTACAGGTCACGGGATCAAGTCCCGCAAGGCTCAAAACAAGGAACCAGCAAACACATTCACACCTAGCTAGTATACAACCCGCCTGAAACCTGCAATTCATTGCACATCAATTAAATTCAAAAAATGAATTAATCAGTTTACCTACCTATTCAAGCAGAGAGGCTGTGAGGGCCATTCATCATTTTCTTGAATTTTATCAATTAAATCCAAAAAGTGAATTCCACAGTTTACCTACATATTCGTTCCTTAAGGAGTCATTCCTAACGTGTTAGTCATTAGGGAATTAGTTCGTTCCTAACGTGTTCTTCATTAGGGGGCTGCATTAGGGAAGGGAGGAAGAAAGGGGAATTAGTTCGTTCCTAACCTGTTCGTCAATCTTTCGCTGATGGCGGGAACTTTTTTCAAAAAACATTTTTTTGCTGATGGCGGCAACTTTTTTCAAAAAACACTTTTTTGCTGATGGCGGCAACTTTTTTCAAAAAACACTATTTTTTTCCTGAAGGAGTCATTCCTTTTGATGATGGTGGCTTAATGTTCACCATAGCAGAAAAGGAAGCTCGCTGAGTGACTCCTTTATTTTCATATATAAGAACAGGTCCTTATGGTTCTGATTCCTTTTGAATAGGAAATAAAAAGAAGGAAAAGAGAGGGTACTTTTTATAGGCTCCGGGTATTGAAAAAAGTTAAAAGGTTTTCTTCTTCTTCTTTTTATTTGAAGGGCGACATCCTTGAGGTATAATCACGGAACCGAGCGGCCTCAGGTAATTCAGATTTATGATATTCCATCACCATCTAAACTCAGGTATGTTTATCAATAGTTTTATGAATGGATCTACTTGATTGATTAATCAATTAATTGCTTCATCGATTGGTTGATTAATTGAAAGTTAATGTTGCAAAAAAAAAAAAAACTCCCACTGCCAAAATGCAGGACTCCACCACCCTGTCATACTCTACTCAGTCTTAATTATTAATTAATCAACACAATGTCTTAATTATTAATTAATCAACACAATGTCTCAATTAAGTTAACTAATCAAGCAAACAATTATAATCCATTGTTTTGTCGAAACGTAAACGCATCCTGCGGTCCAGCTCAGTTGGTAAGGCACGCAAGTGGCATTCAGGAGGCCATGGGTTCAATCCCCCATCGGCCTCATGTACTCCCTGGGCATGCTTGGCGTTGCCACCTACAAATAGCCCGTTCTTCTCCCTAATAAATCGGCATTAAGCAGCCACTGCTGATGTTCGTAGGGGGTAGGGGAAGCGGTAATTAGGGAGGCACAGAGACTGGCCACGCCGACCTACCGTCTTCCGCCGAACATAACGCACCCTAAAAATGTATGTATACAAGCTATATTTCCGGCCAGATACAGCCAAAATAAGGGTGCGTTGTGTTCGGGGGAAGACGGTAGTCCCTGAGGGGCTGGGTGGAGCCTCACATACTCTCATCGGAAGAGTACACGGCTGCTATCCGTCTTCACCCGAATAGAAAGCCCGGTCATTATAGACGTATTTGGTGCAACTTTCAGTCCAGATATGGCAATAATTACCGGGCGTTCTGTATGGGTGAAGACGGTCGGGCGTTATTATAGCTGTATTTGATGCAATTTTTACTCCCGATACAACAATAATTACCAGGCATTCTATTCGGGTGAAGATGGTACGGGTGCCCTGAAGGCAGTAAGGCCACCCTGGACTGAGAAGACCGCCCTGCTAGATGAGACATTGAATTTACTTGGGCTAGTTAGTCCGATGATAATACCGTAAAAAAAAAAAAAAAAAAAAAAAGCGAAAACGCATAGTCACAAAACGACAAGGAGAAGGGCATCGCCCTTCAAAAAAAAAAAAAACAACAACGCATGGCCACAAAACGACAAGGAGAACGACGATGATCGCTTTTTGCGACTGCAAGTTTGGTTCACAAAAGTTGCCAACGATCAGAACCCGACTCCCCGATTGCCGCTGTCAGAATGGAGACAGACATTGACACGTCTAAATACACACCATGCATCCGGTTGTCATCCTGATCAGGTGCATTTTGTCCAGAATTCACTTTACTTCCAATTGTGGAATTGAAGGCCACGCAAACAGCCATGCTATTGCGCCCTTTTCGCACAACACCCAAAAAAAAAAAACAAAAAAAAACAGGGACCGCCTCGCACTGAGACGAGTTTTCCCAATCAAGGCCGTAATATAGGTTCTTACCATTTTCCGCAATTAAAATTCCAAATAATTAAAATGTAAGTTCCGTTTGCGTACTTTACTCTGATTCGATTCCCCTCAAACGAAAAGAACGTAAAAGAAACAATTCCGCCCAAGAGCCGACGTGTAATTCGGCGCGCAGTGACCAGAAGGCATTGCCTTTGAAATGCCACACGTACGATACGCAACGAATCAATGGAAAGACAAAAAAAACACAAAAAAAAAACACAATTCGCGCAAAAATTGGCAAAACTTCGCATTCGCGCGAAATGACGTAATTTGGCGAAAATTGGCGCACAGTGACCACAAGGCATTCGTATTCGTCGCTTCGACGAAAATTGGCGAAATCTTCGGGGGAAAGACAAAAAAAAAAAAAAAAAAAAAAAATCGAGAAATGACGTAATCTGACTGAGGAAATGTTGCACCTCGGTAAACAGAAGGCAATTCCACCTCACACTGTTCACATCGTGGGCGTTCACATCTCTCAATCCCCAAGTACAGCCGTTCGTATCTCACTCAAATACGATCGTTAATATCTTCCAAATAGGCCGTCAATACATCTCAAGTACACAGCGAGAGAGGGAGAGAGGGAAGAAGAGGGAGAAAAGGGAGAAGAGAGGGGGAGAGAGAGGGAGAGAGAAAGAGACAAAGAGAACGGGAGAGAGAGGGAGAGAGAAAGAGATATAGGGAGAGACAACAACGGGTGCGCTCATATGTCTCACGCACGGCCGTCAACATCAACATCTATCAAGTACGGCCTTTTATCTCTCAAGTAAGACAGAGAGAAGAGGCAGAAAGAGAGAGAAAAGGAGAGAGAAGGAAGAGAGAAGGAGAGAGAGGGTGATAAAGACGCAGAGAGCCGAGTGAGAGAGAGAGGAAACACCACACGGTTGCGTTACTATCTCTCACGCACGGCCGTTAATTTCTCTCAAGTACGGCCGTCAATGTCTCTCAACTACGGCCGTCAATGTCTCTCAAGTACGGCCGTTAATTTCTCTCACGTACGGCCGTTAATTTCTCTCAAGTACGGCCGTTTATCTCTCTAATACTGCTGTTAATAAAAAAAGTGATTCGCAATTTTTTTATTTTTTTTTGGTTCATCTATCTCCCAACGACGGACGTTATCTATTTTGGGAAGAAATCATTTAGCAAAACGGCCGGTAAACAAATGAACCTTCTGCTCAACATAAATAACATAACGTTCGACAAAAAAAAAAAAACACAAGAAAGAAAGAAAACCACAACGTTCGACTTCGTGCGCCGCCACTCGCACTCGTTTCTTCTCCCGTCTGTCAAACCAACTCCCATACTTGTCTTCCCCCTCCCCCTCCACTCTCCCCTCTCTGTCTTCCCCTGCCAGAAGCCCTCAGCACCTTTCCACACTCACTCACTCTTTCAATCACACACAGCGCGCGAGCGTGTGCGCGCGTGAGTGAGTGCGCGGCTGCTCCACACCCCAACAAAGATACGCGCATCACCCTTCGCTGCAGCTGAGGGTAGAAACGCAACTTCCTAAAAGGTGCTGAAGGTAGAAATGCAGCTTCCTAGAAGCAGCTGAAGGCAGAAACGCAACTTCCTAGGATAGTGAATCAAGATGCTCTCCGCCTCCGCAAAGCGCAATGGAACGTCGTACCGACTGTGCAGAGATGCTACGTACGGTTCCCAGTCCCAATCCCAATCCCGACGGTCCATTAAAAGCCGGGGCAGGGGGGGGGGGGGGGGGGGGGAGGAATGAAAGAGCCAAAAATCTTATTCAAAAACAACAGAAAAACGGATGGCGTCAGCTGTATTCCTCCGCTGCTTCCCGCGGAAGAAAACACATCAACCCCATTTTCCAAGAACATAACCGAAAACCAAAAAAAACTTAAAATGAAGCGTCATTAACACTCGTTATATTACACGCATAAAAACAAAAGAGTGCGAATTGACTAGCAATGACAACGTAACTCCTTACCTGCGACACATATCAATTTTCGCTAATTATCTCGTCCGGATTTCACTGGCATTAACTTCCCATCCTAGAGTGACACGTGGACGTGCGACAAGAACGGGCAATACACGATAACTCGCTCAGACTGCACACACCACACGCCCGTAAATATCTCCACGTCGTGCTTCCCGTCGTTCTCTGTCTCACTCTTCCCCACCCACTTCCATACACGCACGCGCCGGCTCTCTCTCTCTCTCGCGCGCGCACACGCCAGTAAATGTCACTCCCCGTCGTTCTGTCTCCCTCTCTCCCCCCCCTCCATACACGAGCGCGCGCGCACACGCCAGTAAATATCACTCCCCGTCGTTCTCTGTCTGCACTCATAAACATCACGGCCATGACCGCACATGACCGTAAACATCTTCAGAACCTAAAGGGAAATCTGAACCTGGACGCCCAAGTGCAGAGATGCATTGACAAGCTTTAGCTTGGTCCTACTAGGAAAAAAACGGCGTATTTTTTCTGTCCTTTACCCACAAAATCAAACTCTCCAGTCGTTAATTACACGCTTGATTGATGTTCCAGGCATTCAGACATCAACACCGAAAAAAAAGAAACATGGCAGCATTGACTAGCAAAACGATAGACAGGGATTTTTTTTTTTTCGATAGACAGAGATTAAACTCACCTTCTTCAGTTTCTCTAACCTCTCGTGCTCCATTTTCTGTACTTAGCCACACCAAAGAAATGAGACCAAAAAAAACGGAAAAACGCGCCCAAGAGGCACATTATCAATAATCACATCCCATTATGGAAACCAAGAATAAATCTCAAAATCTGCATATCAAATACAACGAATCTTAAACCCTCCCCTACGACTAGTACCTTCACCACAAAGAGACGAGGAGTCAATTTTCTTTCATCAAGTACAAATAAAAATTACAATTTCAGAAATTAACAAACGATTGCCAAATGGCAAGAGTACTTATCCACTATCATCACAAATCAATTTGAAATACCGAACACTGCCATTTCGTGTGATGACGACCGATAATGCTTAGCTCACTCACTGCCACGCTCACACTGAAGGCCACTACCCATCACACACCGTGCAAGCTTCAATCATCACAGCTGTTCGTGCCGGAAGACTCTCTCTCTCTCTCTCTCTCTCTCTCTCTCTCTCTCTCTCTCTCTCTCTCTCTCTCTCTCTCTCTC